TAATTGTGTGTGTGTGTAGATGTGTGTGTGTGTGTGTGTGTGTGTGTGTATGTGTATATGTGTGTGTGTGTGTGTGTGTGTGTGAGAGAGAGAGAGAGAGAGAGAGAGAGAGAGAGAGAGAGAGAGAGAGAGAGAGAGAGAGAAATGATCGGGTATGTGAGAATTCAATTCCAAGTCTCATTTCTAATTCTGTAGTACCCCTAGTTAAAGCAGCGTGCCTTTCGGCAGAATTAAGGCACCGGCGCTGTACCAAAACCTGCTGTTAGATACAGCTTGACCTAACTAATGTTTAAAGGCTCCTTCTCTTCATTGGCTATTTGAGACCAGTCTATCTTGGACGAAGATGTGGCATTGTTGTTGCAAGCTCTCAATATGTTTTTATCATTAGTGAGCACGCATGACATAATAAACCGTGCTTATCTTCATGTCTGGGTCAATGCATGTCAAAATGAGAGAAGTTAATCTCATACAAATGAACCCATTATTTGATACCCTGGATAATCTTAAGTGACTGGTATAATTCCACAACAGGAACAATTGGAATCATCCAAGATAGCCTAAAACGTGGCTCCCTGTACTGCGTGATGTCATATGAAACTAAGACTTCGCGAGAATCTGCGTGAGGTGGGGCTAACCACCTTAACCTTTGGCAACAAGGGTGAAACTCCATGCCTCGGGAATGCTGTCAAAGAAAGCAGTGCAAAAGTACCACACAAAACATGGTGAATATTTAGTGCCGTGCAAAAGCCTAGTTCTACAGAAAAAAAAAGAATAAAAATAAAATTAAAACAGAAAAATATTCGTTAATGAATTCTTTTAGCCTGCCGCACAACACCAGCCAGTTTGTTTTAGGCACCCACACTTCTAAAGCTCCCGCTAAATCCCGCTGAGTCTTTGGGTTTTCTGGGCTCATTCCCATTACAACGTACATCAAAGCACTAAGCCTTCTACTTATGAGTAAATTACTTCAATAATGCACAAAAAATATCATTAAGGTTGTATGTATTCGTATACCCTCCATGTTTCACATGCCCCAGTGTTTCTTTCCGATTAAGACAGAGGTTGGAACGCCAGCCGACGCACAGGGCGCATTCTAAGCATCCCAGCCAGGGATAGACCACTACATTGTCTCCAACATTCAACTCTGGCCCTGAAGAACGACGCCAAACGAGAGCATTTAGAGCACCTGACTGTTTGGCAATTTTTTTAATGTCCAAATAACTTAAAATGAAAAACATTTTCATTTANTTTAAGGGAAAAAACACATTACCGCCTAAACTCCACAAGATTGTACCGTCAGCATTGGCGTCTTTAGCCAACTTCAGTTTCTCTTCCTGTAAGTGTGAAGATATGATGAAATATATTAAGAATTTTTCATAAAAGACGATAGATGTCAGGGCCGAAGGATGAGAATAATCCTTGGGGCCAAGCTATTGAAGGCCTACAATACAGGTAAACAGGTTAAAATTATTTGCAGGGAATGTAATACTCATTAAAACGCTGACTGAAGGCAAAGTAGAAGAACTCCTGGTTAAACACCCCCCTTCATAATGATAAATTGAAAAATGAATAATTATTTAAAACAAATAAGTAGTGTTAAAAATTTATGAAATCACACCATTATCCTCACCGTAATATCGGCCGCGAACACACTGACCTCTGGTGGCAGTATGTGTTTAGCAAATTGTACACACCATAGACCCAAGCCACCGGCTCCGATAACCAGCAGATTTGCCTTGCCTGTAACAGTATTTATCCGACATATGGAAATATGCTCTTCAGATGTTTTTTTCCTATTTAATTACTTTTGCAGTTTGACGAACTTCAAAATAAAAACTTTTTAAAATAAAATCTGAACTTTTTAAAATAAGTCATAGGCGCTTCAACCCCCAACACTGGCAGATGCCAAAAATGAGGAATGAATCACGATAAGACACTCTTTGTACGCAACTTTTCAAACCATGAACTACTTTTAGAAACATCCGATTTTATCATAGAATCAGTTAGGTGGGAAAACGGCTATGAAGCTCTGGCAGCTGATTAATATGATTGGAATAAATCTACGCATACATATATTAACGTTTCATATCTGCTACATGTAATACCTTGGCGTATTTCAGTACAATATTACATATTACATATCATAAATTAAACAAAAAACATAAAACAAGGTTATGGGCAGCATGATAAATTTATTGAAATAGCTATATGAAATGAGGGATGGCATGTGTTAACTTTGTGACACCCCCGGGGTGGCTGTTTGTGAAGGAGACGGGGAGGGGAGGGGGATATTCTTACCTCTCAAACCAACCATGTCGAGCAGAGTATCCCGTGTGTTCAACACAGCGTTGTACGTAGTAATTCCACTACAGGGGAGCATACAGGCGACCTCAGGGGACAGACCCCGGGGAATCCTCAGCACCGTCCTCTCTACGATAGGAACCACCACGTGGGTGGCAAATCTGGAAAGGTAATCAATGAAGTAATGTTCGTGTGTGTGTGTGTGTGTGTGTGTGTGTGTGTGAGAGAGAGAGAGAGAGAGAGAGAGAGAGAATTGATCGGGTATGTGAGAATTCAATTCCAAGTCTCATTTCTGATTCTGTAGTACCCCTAGTTAAAGCAGCGTGCCTTTCGGCAGAATTAAGGCACCGGCGCTGTACCAAAACCTGCTGTTAGATACAGCTTGACCTAACTAATGTTTAAAAGCTCCTTCTCTCCATTGGCTATTTGAGACCAGTCTATCTTGGACGAAGATGTGGCATTGTTGTTGCAAGCTCTCAATATGTTTTTATCATTAGTGAGCACGCATGACATAATAAACCGTGCTTATCTTCATGTCTGGGTCAATGCATGTCAAAATGAGAGAAGTTAATCTCATACAAATGAACCCATTATTTGATACCCTGGATAACCTTAAGTGACTGGTATAATTCCACAACAGGAACAATTGGAATCATCCAAGATAGCCTAAAACGTGGCTCCCTGTACTGCGTGATGTCATATGAAACTAAAACTTCGCGAGAATCTGCGTGAGGTGGGGCTAACCACCTTAACCTTTGGCAACAAGGGTGAAACTCCATGCCTCGGGAATGCTGTCAAAGAAAGCAGTGCAAAAGTACCACACAAAACATGGTGAATATTTAGTGCCGTGCAAAAGCCTAGTTCTACAGAAAAAAAAGAATAAAAATAAAATTAAAACAGAAAAATATTCGTTAATGAATTCTGTTAGCCTGCCGCACAACACCAGCCAGTTTGTTTTAGGCACCCACACTTCTAAAGCTCCCGCTAAATCCCGCTGAGTCTTTGGGTTTTCTGGGCTCATTCCCAGTACAACGTACATCAAAGCACTAAGCTTTCTACTTATGAGTAAATTACTTCAATAATGCACAAAAAATATCATTAAGGTTGTATGTATTCGTATACCCTCCATGTTTCACATGCCCCAGTGTTTCTTTCCGATTAAGACAGAGGTTGGAACGCCAGCCGACGCACAGGGCGCATTCTAAGCATCCCAGCCAGGGATAGACCACTACATTGTCTCCAACATTCAACTCTGGCCCTGAAGAACGACGCCAAACGAGAGCATTTAGAGCACCTGACTGTTTGGCAATTTTTTTAATGTCCAAATAACTTCAAATGAAAAACATTTTCATTCAGCACAAATGGAAGAAAGACTGCTATATTTACCTGCATCTCCACCCAGGGCTTCAACTATTCCTGCTATTTCGTGTCCTGTCAAACAAATCAATATTTTTTACTGCGGCTTTCAGTTGATTGTGTCCGTGTGTGTGTGTGTGTGTGTGTGTGTGTGTGCTTGTGTGTGTGAGAGAGAGAGAAAGCAGAGAGAAAGAGAGAAAGTCAGAAGGAGAGACAGAGAGACAGAGATAGGTGGTGATGGAGCAAGCCCTGTACCTAATGCTAACTCCAGGGGGGAGATGCCTGCTTTTTTCATATCCTCTTTCGGTCCGTCTACATCATCAAACTCTATCCACGAGTGGACGTCAGAGTGACATACGCCTGAATATGTGATCTGAAACGGGGTTAATGATGAACTTCATACTAGTCCTTACCTTTTGAAACGGTGGGCACAATGTTTCGAAGAAGAATCTGAAAGGGAGGGGGGCGCTTTTCTGACACATCTATAACATCAAAACGTCGTGACCTCCGTTTCAAGACGAACATGTTACAGGTGTAGTTATCAATTTCAATCCTATCTTTAATATACTTTTAACCTAATGGTTGAATCAAAATACTCATTAATTAAAACGAATAAGATGAGGACATTGTATCATGGACACTGTATTATACAGTGGTCAACGGGCGGTCTAACACACATGGCTGCCGCGCATATGTACAAATACATGCTTGCAAAGGTCCCAAACTTGAAACTGATTATAGTCCCGGTCTGCAGATATATAAGAAAAAAGGGGAAATTAATGTCAAAATGATCCACACTGGAGTGCAAATCTACTGGCTAACGCCTTTATCTTAACTTATGGACTTCAAGATGGCCTTTAGTTTGCTAAAACGGGAATTTAAGATTGAAACCCCTATATATTTTATTTACCTTAACAACTGCTCCCTTGGGAGGAGGAGAAGGAATAGCATACTCGGTGAGCCTCAAGGGCTTTGAGGCTTCGAAAACTACTGCTCGTTTCATATTTGGTCGAAACGCGTTTTCAAAGTCGTCCTCTGGGATATATGTTCTCTGTATGGCGCCCTATGTTATTGAGTGTAGTCTAATTCACCCTCACAATCGTCTGACTTTTAATCCCCAAAAGACTAGATATCGAAAACAGGCGTTGCTATTTATATCAGGCGGGGTTTTCGTATAACCTTTGTCTAAGGACGCGGAAGGGGGGGGGGGGTGATGTCATTCTCCTTTGAGGTGCATTGAGGGATGGAAATATTGACAAAATAATCGTGTTCAAATAGTCTTACAAATCACGTGTCAGTTTTATCATGGAAATGTAGGGAACCTGTCGCTGTATAATTATTGATAGTTAATTGTTGAGCGTGCAGACAGATACTACATACTCACCTCCGTGACCCAGTTGCATATTTATTTGTTTACTTTAGTCATTCATTAAAGGTGACAGCAAATATTCTACTTCCTGCAGAAAAATTGCATTATTTAGAACTACCTCTCAACCAGCCCAACCCTCCAATACAAATACAAAGTCCCTTCCACGGAAAATCGCTTTACACCAAATGTTTATAACATATGTTCATTTGCTTAGAGGTACATGTATCGCAGATGGGTTCAACGATATAAAATTCACACAGACATATATATATATATATATATATATATATATATATATATATATATATATATATATATATATATGCATAATATCCTGAGCCTTTTAGTCATCTTTCGTGCTTTTTTTCATGTATTAGGATTCCTTTTTCCAATTCGAATTCTGAGGCATATCGAAGTATTGGCATTTTCGTGATCTATGACATCTTTTGGATAAAAAAAGCGTAAAACAGTGCATATTTTAAAGTGAGCTCATCGCAAAAGGCAAATCATTGCATGCAACAAAAATGCTGAAAAATTTTTATGCCATAGGGGAGCTTAGCGATGTTTAGGCGCAAATTTTTTTCCCAGAAATTTCCTAATTAGTACCACGACATACCTTAGACGGAGTTGTCAAGAAAATGGAGATTGCATGAAAGGGTTTAAAGATCAATTTGAAAGAATAAAAAAGTCATTTTTGTCCTGCTACTTGATTTTTATGCGATACGCGGGAAATGTTGGAATCACTAGATTGCGTGTTATTAACAATGTAATCCAGAAGCGNGGCAACTTAGAGCATTTATTACTCTAAAATAAAAAGACCTACTTGATGTTTTATTTCATAGATGAGTGCGGCATATAATTTTCCCCTATCAGATTTTTTATTTTTGTCCCCAAAGCTTTGACTGCTGAGATATCGCAAAAAAGGTGAAAACTGTTCCAACCAACCCCGCTCTCCCCTATTTGCTTTGGCTCAAACAGCCAAGACCCCGTTTGAGGTTACAAAATATCAATCATAATGATGAAATCAGATTTTCCGTATATCGGAGTTTACGTATTCGGTAAGGCAATACACAATACATGAAAAATTTTCTCCAAATATATGTAATGATGCCAAAGATAAAATCTACATTTATTACAATATTCAGAAATGCAACTTGATTTTAAATTCCAAAAGCTTATCCGAAGGCATGTAGATCATATGTTTCTTCTGCTACCGGTATACTTGTCTCAAACCAAGTTTTTTTCTTTTGATGACGCAATTCATATGACATCGTCCTATAACGTGTTTCATCCAGTATTCCTTCACGGAAGAATTCCAATAGCTTTTTTCTTCAATCAACAGCTAATATTTAGATTGGAATTTGGAGGTAAGCGATCTCGATATTGGTTCTTGATTGAAGAAAAAATATAATACTTTATTCTTTCATCCAGTATTATTTATCATCCTTCATTTCGGGAGTTTTGTTCACTTTCTGTTCGTATTTGGTTGATCAGGCGTTGCTTTGTATCACGTGATTAATCCAGTTTGGTTTGCAACGTGTTCCATCGGCTTTTCATGTGTTTTGACCCACTTTGAGCCACACGGCTTGTTTACACAGGAGAATGACGTCTATCACTCATAATGACAGTTTATTATCAAGGGGGTTGAACTCCCAAGAACGAGGTACGTTGAGTAGATTGATAATGGTGGAATTTTGTACCTTTTGCACACAGTACACCTAAAAAGATACACTGCATGTGCACCGAGCAGCTATATGTATATAGGCTACATATCGTGGCTTTCTTTGTCGCAAATGTGCCCATATATAATATAGCACAGGTGCTGAGAATTACTTTGTTTACTGAGCTTACTTATGCCCCGAATTGATGAACATTTGGGATGAAGGAAAACAGGAAATGTACGTACTTGGTTCACATATATGTGTACTGCGTGTAAAAGAGACAAAATGCCAAATTATCAATATGCTCCACGTACTTCCGCTTTGGGAGTTCAACCCCTCGATTATTGTTAGCCGCATTTCGGTTGACTTTTCATCCTTTACTCTTCATCACATATAAGCGGAGTTACGCTGACGGCCAACACTGCACTTGTTCCGGTTTTTTTTAATCCCATGTGACCTACGTATGAGACAACCACGTGACTAGCACGTGGGGTTGCCGTGCTGTTCTTTGTCAGATTTTGGTTGACGGATTCGTTTTCTGGGAATGTAGAGCTTTCTGTGGACAAAGTACGTTACATAAGCTATCGTTGCGCCCATTAAAACCTCGCACAACCTGAAAAGGAAGAATAGATTGTGATGACAAATTGGTCAACGTTTGTAATATAAGACCTACGCATAAAGTTTGTGCTTAATAGATAGATGGTTATTTTTTATTATGAATCGTGAGCATAAAGACAAGAAATGGAGAAAACATTTTTTTTTCTTTTTCACAATATCTGCAGGTCAAGCAGAAAGTGAATTGGAGAGTTAAACAGATTTACATATATATCGCTAGTATACTGTTTTTATTTACCAAAACCGGCTATGACTTATCTGAAGTTCAAGTAAGTAATTTTCCCTCAAGCCCGCTGTAAATGTTCTTTACACTATAGGCCTATCAATTAAAAGGTACCTTACTCCATTTTCAGGTTGAGAGCAGATAAATGGGATCGCAAGAATGTTCAAATATCAGCAATGCACATATTGTATGTTATCGTAGATAATAGGCTACATTCATTTAATTGACTTTACAATAAGAATGAATTTGAAGTTATGAATACACAATGCGTACGTGCATTGCTGATTTGAGAGCCAGCACTGAAGATAGTTAAGCAAAAGGCAATCACAGGGGTAGATGCATTCACGAGGGACGAGGACGCTTATTGAATAGGATTGCCGAATTAAGGAACTCATCTTACAGATAATGTGCGCTGTAATGTGTTATTAAAAGACTTGATTTAGTGATTGGGTGTCTCGTTACGATCTCAATGGCCAATTATCAATCCCATCTCCAAATTTTATACCAAATTGTGAAATTTGCACAGAAATGTCGATTTCAGATAATTTTGCGTTTGGACGAAACTAAGAAGATATTTTGCGGGAGTTGATTGTTCTTGCGATTCACTTACCAACGTTAGAAAATTGATATGGTTTATCTTATTCATTAGTGTTTAGCGACCATGAGTTATTGCGGCTTTGGACCAGAAAATATATTTACCAACAGATCCATATATGCAGTTGAGCTGTTTTTACTGCTCCAATATATAAGTCTGTATTTAATGTAGATCTTAACCAACAACTAAGAGAGAGAGAGAGAGAGAAAGAGAGAGAGAGAAAAGCGTGAGAGAGTTTTAGAGTGTTTCATTGTTCGTGCGGGTGTGAGTGTATGCAAGGAGGGAGATACATGTACTTAGCCTTTTCTCTTGCCTAGTCCATCTGGTTATTTGTAGTTTCCTAAATTGTGAGCGGTACAACATCTACTCATAAGCTTTACATGTTCTTTTAAAAAGTGCAGAGCTCGTCAAGGGATGCACGTCAATTTTATATCAATGGTCACTTTATATCAATAAGCCTTTCTTTCCAATGGAAAATGTAACAATAAATGCATTGCTTTATTAACCAGCAGACGGCAGTCATCAATCTCGAGGCGGGAAGAATAATAGTCCAGTCACAGGAGTCGACCACACGCCTCGCGTCGTTTATTTCCTCCACTGACAGTGCATTTCCAACACCCAAACGCCTTACTGTAAAATTTACAGTGTCCTTAAAATCGAAGACGCAGTTAATGGGGTCACATTTTGACAATACATTATCATTTTATTCAGCAGATCGTAAATTGAGACCTATCAGACAGTCGCTTGAAAGGTTCCTTAAAAACAAAGTCTTGATTTCACTGAGCCATGATATTTTGTTCATGTTTGCATTTTAATGTGAAAAGAACAAAGTAAATTTATTGGACACACTTTCTTCATTCACGTTAATGATCGTTGTGCACTTGCACTAAACTCCCAGAGCAATAAGCTGGTTGACTGGACCTTGGAATGGAGCAAACACAACTAAATCGAATCATGATCAGCATGCTGATTCCAGGGGAATAAAAATGGAATGCCACAATGAGGTAGTACGTGTTACCCGAAATAACCTCGATATCAGCCATAGGGGGAGACGGTCAAAGGGAAAGCGTCTAAAATAAACGAATAGATTAGTTTTTGATCAAACAAGTCGAACAGTTAGGATTACAATGAAAAGATATATAGAATATTGCCAGTGCTGGATGAATGAATGTTTGGTGTCTGCATTTTGCTAGTTAGGTTAGGTAGTTAGGTATTTCGATTCTCTTTGTATTCAGGAGCTATTCTGTTGTTAACAACGTTTAATAACTGATATACCAGTACGTTTTTTAGTAAAGTGTTGTTGCCATTCATATGTGCTTTCAGAATCAAGATCAGAACCTTTTCATCTGACGTTCAATGTAACCTTCGCTCATATGAGCACCAGATCCTAAGAACATCGGCTTATGCGGCTCCAAATCAATAGGGGCAACGTAATCGGATTTCAGGGAGTTCATTAACAAGTTTCTTCGCTTATTGAGTGTTAAAACAGCGATAATTGAGTTATCATCAAAACAGACCTATTTCGATTTTAAACAATCTT